TGACAAGGAAAGAGGATGTACTTTAGGGCAGGACAGATGCTTTAGAGTTTTGTCCTGGATCCAAGAATGAAACCCATATATTGTAACGTGGAAAAAAACAAAACAAAACAGAGAAACAAAACAAAACAAAAAACAAATGAAAAGTGTCCACGTGCCTGAGGCGAAACTTGTTTGGTCTGTTCTCTCTGTGGCTCTCCATTTCCTCTTCCCAGTCCTGTGACTGGAAACTGGCTGAAGGGCAGGGTGGCACTTAGCCGTGGCATCTCATGTTATGTATGAGGTCTTTCCTTGATCTCTTCAGGGCCAGGTTTGGGGAGAGAAGAGTGCTTTATGTCTTTAGTTGGAGTTCTCCTGTTTCAATGACTTCAGAGTGTAGGACTGACAGATTTTCTACTTCCCAAGTGTGAAAACAGATAAACCAGTTCCTCGTGAGCTTAATTCAGCTGTTCTGCAACTGGTAAGCGTAGTGTCAACAATGTGTGTTAAACCAGGGCTACTGCACCAGAACCACAAAGAGGAAGGCTGTGTGAGGATCTTAGAGGAAAACGTGCTGAATGAGTTGTAACAACCCCACCCATTTCCTTTAGATGATAACTTGGTAGCCCTGCTTCATTGTTCAGTGTGACTTTGCAGATGCTGTGAGTAGCAAGAACCAGTTCTATGTGAGCAGTTTGGGACAGCCTATTATCTAGCATTTCCTCAGGTTAATATACAGCCCAGCTTGCCACTCGATTAGATGAATACACAACAATGTTTATCTTTTGTATGTATGGATTCTATTTCAGCTTTTTCCTTTCTAATAAATAACCCTGTCAGCATACGGAAATCTTTGTCCATGTTCTGCTTTTCCATACCAAAGTTCCTAGAACCAGAATTATTAAGTCAGAGGTCATGAACTTTCTTGGTAGAGGCTAAAGCAAGAAGCTGTGTTGGTAGGGCCTCCCACTGTGTATATCGAGGAAATTTCTTTCATTTTTATTTAAAATTTATGTTTACTTTTGATTAGATACTTCACGCATCTACTGTATATGGTTAGTCAGTATCTATCTATCTATCTATCTATCTATCTATCTATCTATCTTCCTCTGCTCTGGTCCCCATTCAATAGTCCTCTCCTTTATTCCCTTGCAAGTGAGTTTCTTTCTCCACTTTTTGGTTCCCTTATGTATGTATCAGCAAACGTGACCATGAGTTCTCAGTTTTGAGCTTCCAGTCTAAGTATCTGCACTCAGTGCTCACCGCTCCATCCTTACATTTCTACTTTGTGCTATAAAGTAGAAACAATGCTTGTTTCATTTCCGTGCACAGAGGGTCTCCTCTCTTTTGAAGCTACGTAGTACTCCACTGTGGGTAGACAATTCTTTCTTTAGCCCACCCTCTAATGGTGGATACCTGGCTTGTTCCAGATCCCTGCTAGCTCTAGCCATGCCACAGTAGACAGTTTCACTCTGATCGCACGGGTATTCCTATAGAGAATATTTGGAGGAAGGAATGGCAGATAAAAACAAGTTAGTTTGGTAGCCCCTAGCTGGCTCCCCATGGGAGTCAAACTATTTCATTTCCTGACACTGGCACAATCAAGAGTGTGGTTTTTCTGCAGCCTTGCTGACAGTGGCTATTGGGCTATGGAGGCATTTATAGGTCTGGGGTAGCAGTAGAAACTCTCTGGCCTCCTTCTGGTCCAGCCTTTACATGCTCCCAAACAATGGTGACTGTGTCCCTGCAAATGTCAGTCCTTCTTTACCCACTGCTCTCCCTTCTTCCTCTTTACTTGGCTAACACCCTCTTCTGGCCCACCCTGGCAGCCTTTGGCTGGGCTTTATCCACAGGGAGGAAGGGAAATAGGAACAGGGGCTGGAACTGGATAGATGGGAGCACAGATGAAGCCCTCATCCCAGGGGCCCCAAAGTCCTGGATATAATTAAAATGCTCATTATTGAGATAATGCACTTTAATAAAATTCTTGCTTAGCTTGTGTCAGACCTATAGGAGAAACTTGTTCACTATTGTTAGGAGTGGACTGTCTTGCCTTCCAAACTACTGAGTCTCTTAAAGTTTGCTTTTCATTTGATTATTTTCACATGTGTGTGCTTTGTGTCATGTTAATGTGTGAATGAACACATGTACTTGAGTAAGTTTGTGTCACCCTCAATAACCTTATTTATAAAATAAGGTTAATTATAAAATAAGGTTAAATAAATTAACCTTATTTTATTTTTTTTGAGACAGGGACTCTCTGTTATGTAGCTCTGGCTGTCCTGAAACTTACTCTGTAGAGCAGGCTGTCCCTGAACTCACACAGATCCACTTGCCTCTGCCTCCCAAGTGCTGGGATTAAAGGCGTATGCTGCCGCCAACCCCAGCCTTTCACCATAGGTTTTGAGACACAGTCTCTCACTGAACCTGGAACTGGTTAGACTGCCTATGCAGGGAGCCCTAGGGTTCTTCCTGCCTCTGCTTCCTAAGAGCTGTGATGATAAGTGTGTGCTAGCATGCCTGGCTTTTACATGGTTTTGGGCATAGAACTTGAGTTTTTGCTCTTTTGTGGCAAGGATTTTATTCACTAGGACATCTCCCCAGCCTTTGAAACTGAGTCTTTCCTTCTTCCCCATGTGTGGGTGCAGACTGCCCTGGGACATCATGGGCACTGCCAAGGAGCCCCTGGATTGGGACACTTTCCATTCTTGATGTGTTTCTTGTTTGTAACAAGCCCAGTCCTTCAGGTAGCATTTTTCTGAGGCAGGCTGTGGCTTCAAGGTTCCCTCCCTCCCTCTCTTCCTTTCTTCCTTCCTTTTTCTTTTTTTCCCATTGGGAATTGAACGTAGGGTCTTGTTCATGTTGGGTGAGTGGTTTACCACCATGTACCTCCCCAGTGGTTTATGGAGTTTGTATCTCCACTGAATTCTGTTTCTCTCTTAGGTGCTGTTGTGTAGGCCTGAGCACCTGGCCTTAATGGGAGTGGGGGCAGGGGTGTGTCCAGTCAGAGCTGTAGGTTTAGGACAATGAGACTATGGCATTTGCACCAGCCACCACATTCCTGGGTCTTATCTTCCTTTGAGCCTTGTCTATATAGACTTTCCCTGCATCAGAGCCTGCCACAAAAGGCCCTGAGATCCGGGGTCTCAGGACCAGCTATAGGAGCAGCTAGTGTGACAGAGAATGAATTCTGGGTGGTATGGTCACCACAAATCTCAGACTCCACACAGAGTCCCATACCCCAACCCTCTATGTCTCCTAGCTCTGCAGCAAGATCCTGGAGAAGACAGCCAACCCTCAGTGGAACCAGAATATCACATTGCCCGCGATGGTGAGTGGCCCTTAGTGGGACTCAGTACTTCTTGGTCCCCCAGTCCTGCTGGCATCCTTGGCTTTTGCTCAGTGAGGGAGTTGCTTTCTTCTAAAACTCTGTTCTCATCTAGCTTCCCTTCCTTCCCCAGTTTCCCTCTATGTGTGAAAAAATGAGGATTCGTGTCATGGACTGGTGAGTTCCGGGTCCTTGAGGGGATTGTCTCCAGGTTCCTTGGGTCTGTCATTTTCATGCACCTGGGCTGCTGCTGTGACAGAGGGTGAATGTGTCAAGCCAGGCTATGAGGGCTATGGGCATTTATGTGGCAACCAGGAGCTGGGATGTGACACTGACTAAAGGTAAGGAGACCACAGCCAGGAGGCAGTGAGGAGTTAAGCTCTGGGGGCTTCCTGAGGAGTCGCTTTGACAAGTCATTGGTAAGAGCCACATACAAGAGGTGGAAACCAAACCAGCCACTCTGTCTCTGTGGATGGAATGGAAGAAAAGCCCCCACGCTGGGGGTGTGGGTTATATTGTCTGAATAGGGGTCATTGTTGTGAGCGTTGAGTAGGTCAGGACAGTAGTCTTAGAATCTTAGCACTTGTTGATCACTAGTTTGTAGGCCAGGGCTGTGTCCAGTGAGCACTTTCCACATGTATGAGTTTATCTGAGTCTCGACAAGGTGGCATGGTCCTACTTCACAGAGGAAGGCACAGGGAGGGAAAAACCAAATAACCTGTCTGAGGTGACAGTTCAGATGTCACTGAGACCTGATGTGAATCCCAGCCAGAGCTGGAACTTTTATCCTCCTGACCATGCTGTCTCTCAGTAGCAGCAAGGAGGTGACCTCTCTCACACTTGAGGGGACATCAGGGCCCACGCTCCACAAACTCAGAACCCTAGGCTTTCCACAAAGAGCAAGCTGTCCTTTCTCTGCCCCCAGAAGTCCTGGTCATGTGGCTCCCTGGCCATTCTCCTTTAGTTGCATGCCCATGGCACCCCCAACTAGGAGGATAATGAGAGACCAGGGGAAAAACCCCAGGCCGCAGAGCCATTAAAGTGTGTGCCAGTTCCCCAGGCCTAAAGAAAACAGATTGAGAGAATTAGAGGGAAAGGAGTGTGGGCAGGGGGCAGGGAGAGGTCCTGAGGTCCGCCACGGCTGGTATGAGCCTCTGGGAAGGGGAAGCGGTTTGGTGGAAAGGTACACTTTGCATTCCCAGAGCCATCTCTGCATGTCAGCTGGCAATGACTGTGTTGTGTTGACTGGGACAGCCCGGTGTGCATGTGTGTGCGTGCATGCATCTGTGTGGATGCATGTGGGTGCGGCTGGCCCATGGATTGTGGCTGTGCCTGGCCAGGCTCCCTTGGAGCTGTGTCAAAGCTATCAGCATACTGTACAATCCAAACACATTACGGAATCTGGTGGCTGCATCTCTGGCTTAGGTTGAAGTGGCACTTTTATTGTGAGTCTATTTTGAGACTTGCTGTTTTCCAAAAGCAAGCCCTAAGCCCCAAAACCCAGCTCTAGGCCAGAAAGTATGCCACCACTGGAAGTTTCTATGCAGAAAGCCTTTCTTCCCAGAACACACAGATGAACTTCTGCTGTCACCTGGCTCTTAGAAATATGGTGCAGTCTATGTGGCTCTGTAACTTAATCTTTCATTTGAGTCTTTAAAAATTCCCCTTTCATTAAAAAACAGAAATCCCTCAGGGCTGGAGAGATGGTTCAATGGTTAAGAGTGCTTACTGTTCTTGTAGAGGATTAGGGTTTGGTTCCCAGCACCCACAATGCGCAGCTCATGACTGTCTCTAACTCCAGTTTTTGTTTGTTTGTTTTGCCTTTTGGCTTCTGTGGGTAACTACACTTATGTGGTGCATGTAAACTTGTTCAGGCAAACACACATAGACATCAAAAATACAACACACCCTTTCAAAACACCTCCTCAACAGAAGCCACCTCCATAGAAACAACAAACCAGTCTTATTCTCCTCCCTATTTAGACAAGGCCCGAAGTCAGAACCCCTGTCCTCTTTAAGGGATGAACTTAACAATGTTTGAAAACACATCCAGTTTGCTTAGTGTCTTTGAGACACTGGGTTAGATTCCCGTTAGGGCAAAAAGAAGCCAAGAGAGGGACATATGCTGTCAGGCATTGGTGCTGTCACCTCCGGGAAGTTCTCATGTACCAGGAACCATGATCCAGATCCAGGCTGCCAGGTCACTCATTCTTCCTCATGTAGTTCCTGTCAGAGGGAGGCTTCAAAGGTCAAACCTCGATCCCCTTTCTGGGAAACCTAAAGGGGAAGGAAGGATAGAGACTGGGGCATTGCATGGGGTTAGGGTTAGGAGGAAAAGGAAATCAGCATGCCTTTGGTGTCTTTGGAAGTGGTGGGGGACAAATGTGCCATGGCCACAGTGCTCACAGTGGGGAAAGAAGCCCCAGGAAAACCAAGAAGAGGCTTGGAAGTGTACCAGAGAACCCAGGCTGGCATGCTGACCACTGCTGGAACTATGGATCTGTCCCTTGAATCGAAAGTTGTTCAGCACCCATGACCTTTTCCCCCTTGGAAGGCTGGATCCTTCTCTTCTCATACAAAAATGTCTCCTGACATGGCCATCCATGCTCTGGGGTCAAGCCATTAGGTGGAGAAGCCCAGGTTCACCTTCCAGGTCAGGGCTCTGAATTCCACACAATAAGTTTTTTTGGCCTCAGAGCTCGGTCTCTCAGTCTCTGAGGTGTGTGTGTGTGTGTGTGTGTGTGTGTGTGTGTGTGAGAGAGGGAGAGAGAGAGAGCGAGAGAGAGAGAGAGAGAGAGAGAGAGAGCGGTATATGTGGGCATGCAGGCAATGGCAGGCATGTGGAGGCCAGAGGACAGCTTTGTGGAGTTCATTGTCTTCTTTCACCTGTATTTGGTTCCCAGTGATCAAACTGAGGTCACCTGGCTTTCAAGGCAAGAGCCTCACCAACCCTCTGATAACTGATTATCTCGACATCAGCAGCCTCAACTGAAGCTGGGACTCATTGTAGAATATACCTGCTAGGACTGATGAGGGGGTCCTGAGAGCTAAGTAATGGGGTCCCTTTATTGATTGATAGATTGAGTGTGTGTGTGTGTGTGTGTGTGTGTGTATGCGCGCATGTGTGCGCATGCATGTGTGTATGCCAGATGTCAAATCCTCAGTTTTTCTCTGCTTTAGTTTTTGAGGTCAGGCGTCTCATTAGCCCTGCAGCTTGTGATTGAGACCAGACTGGCTGTCCAGCGAGCCTTGGAATCCTCTCAGCCATGCACCACACCTGGCTTTTTACATGAGTGCTGGGGTTCAGACAGTGGTGACACAGGAGCTATGGAGCCAGCATTAGTGATTGCAATTTGTTATCTAGGAGACAGGTGTGGGAGTCAAAGGCAGGACCTGCATGGGATGCTGTGGGCTAGCAGGTTCCGTTTCCCAGAGAGCCTACCTACAGGTCCCTGCACTGCCTGGGATGGGAGAAGTCTTCCTCTAAGAAGGCAGGAAAGGGGACTTCCTGACTGTGCCAAGGAGCATGACACCTGAGTGGGAATTGGGGTGACAGTACTGGCTCTGCTCCCCCACCCTGGCTGACAGGGGAAGGGCCTTCATGCCTCTGCACCTGTTTGCTCATTCCATAGAAGGTGTTAAAGTACTTGGTCTCTGAGCAGCTGTGACGCTCCTTTGGGACATGGCTGTCACAGCTAGAGTCTCTCTACACAAGGCATTGTACACCAACACTACTCCCTGCCATGGCCTCAGAGATGGCTTCTTGGATCTTGACATTTCTTGGGTGCCCAGGACCATTTGGGACTGGAAACTGCTCTTCCCCAGCAACCTCCTGCCTCTTATCCTGCCTGCCTCTGGCCTCCCCTGTCAACCTGGGCTGGTGGCCCCATGTAAACCAGGTGATACAGAATTGAAAACTGTCAAGATGAACAAGTTGGCTCTCAAGGTGTCTTTAGCAAGCTCTTTTTCTAGTCTCTTTCCTCCTGGGGTTCCCAGGTCTTAGTAGAAGACTGGACCCTTAGCAATGTGTTACCAAGGTCAATTCCTTCTTGAGTGGGCTGTGTGCTGCATCCGTCTAACTTCATGCCTTATTTCCATCCTTGTACTAGGGACCGCCTCACTCACAATGATACTGTTGCCACCACCTACTTGGGTATGTCGAAAATCTCTGCCTCTGGAGGAGAAATAGAAGGTATGTCCCACTTGCTCTCTGCTTGCCTGTCCCTCCTCACTATCTTACACCTCAAGATTTGGGAGCCTGCAGGCTAAGGAAGATTGTAGGGCCTCTGCAATCCGTTTTCTGGTGATAGCTCACTTACAGGCATTTAGGGTGCTACACTCTGAGTGGGGGTACACACTGGATAGTCCAAAGGGGTCCCCTCAGTCCTGCTGGGGGAACCACTTGCTCGGTTCTACCCTGGCCATGAGTGCCCAGTGATTCTTGTTTTTCAATAGATTTCGTTTGTCTGCTAAAATGTAACCCATTGTCAATTGTAAATTATTAACTAGTGATCTGAAACAAGACTGACGTTTACCTATGAGACACCCTTCAGGTCATCATCTGCAGGCAAGAACGATATCCTGAGCTTCCTGGGAAACACACACATGCCACACACATGTGCCTGTACATACATACCCACAACATGAAACCTACCCATATACATTAACATGAGTTATTTGATCATTGCTTTTTGTCTCTTGGCAATATTAGAGTAAGTTCTTTTCTTGTGATTAAGTATTCTTCTAGAACACTTTTTTTTTTTTTTTTTCGGTAGGATTGAACCCAGGGCCTTGTATATGCTAGCTGAGCACTCTATCCACTGAATTACATCCCTAGTCCTTAGAATACAATTGTAATAAATATATGTTCCATTGTGAGTGTACATAATCAAATGAGTTAGTTAATATGGAGTATTCAGGCATCTTCTGGTTTTCCCTACCTTACCACTAACTGCAATGAGTGTTTTTATAGCTGAGTTCCATGCTGTACATAGCTACAACAACAATAACAACCACCACCACCGGTCTGGAAAGATGGCACAGAAGTTAAGACCATCTGCTGCTCTTGCAGAGGGTCAGGGTTGGTTCCCAGCAACCACGCTAGGCTGCTCACAACTGCCTGTAACTTCAGTTCCAGGGACCTGACGCCCCCTTCTGGCTTCTGAGGGTACCTGGAT